CTTCTCTGCATGCATGGTGCGAGCCTTATCCTCTGCCTCCTACCGAACCCTTGCCTCGACTATCTTCTCTGCATGTATGGTGCGAGCCTTATCCTCTGCCTCCTACCGAACCCTTGCCTCGAAAGAAGTGTTAGCAGTAGCGTCCTCCTGAAGCAGCAGTAGAAGAGTATGCCTCTCCCTTGCAAGATCACCTTGCGCGGTCTCGCTCTGAATGCGTAGGCCCGTCAAGATTGATTCCCCTCTCCGTATGGGATCATACCTAAAAAAATTGAAGAAGCGGTAGACTCCATGTCAGATTGCAATAGGCGTTGTCGGAGATCCAAATGACAGAGAAGGGCCTTTCTATCTTCTATATCTCACCTTCGGCACTCTCGCTACCACATGGCGTAGCAACGAGCTGGAGCCAAGAATAGCGTCACCTCGGACTCCAAATCCGCATATCGCAAGTCCTCCAACTTTGTTAGGAGCAATTCCAAATCGATGAGTCTCATCGAATAGCATAGGGCAAGCCTAAAATCGCCCTAGCATCGGAGGCGGGCCATACGGTCTGAGAGGGACTGTTTCAATTCCGTGAAGGTACCTTAGCCCTGATTGATGAGCGAGATCACTTCACGGAATTTTCCAATTCCTCTAACTGGGTCAGAATAGAGTCCGAAGGTTTAGACTCCAGATCGTAGTCAGGTGCAGGAGCCGAAGAAGAGGCGTCGTCTCCCATCTTCTTCGCACCAGATGCCTTCGCTCACGGAGCCATCTTGAACGAGAAGGAAACGATGAACACGGTGACCTCTTCGACAAGGGAAGAGGGTGTTGGCCTTCTTATTTTTATGATGTTTAACAAACAATTTACTTCTAATGTTGTTTGTCTAGTGTTTGTGTTTTTGTATTTATTCTAGGCAAACAACGAGTTGGAGGTTGGATGGATTAAGCCTACACGATCATATCAAATGGAGGTTGGCGGATTTGTGGAGTGAAGCTACATACAATTCAAGTTAAAGATCAAGTTCAAGCTTCATCCGCAACGTGTACCAAGTTGAGCCTCAATGAAGATCAAGATCAAGCTTGGGTAATTTAGTTTAGGATTTATATTATGTGTGTTAAGTACGTTAAGCTCAATATCTATACACACACATTTATTGGTTTCTTCGTATATGTATATAGTTATATATATATATACATAAGTTTTGGTTTCTATGCATATATATAGTTATATATATACATACATGTGTTTTGGTTTTTATGATATTACATACTCTATTGTGTTTTAGTACTTATAGCATAGAATATGTAATTCTGTGAAAATATTGTCTTATTAGTTTGTAGACTTCAATATCAGTTTATACATGTTTTACTAAGTCTATAAAAACATTTCACAAAGTTTCAAAAGTTGGTTTATGTCAAAACATCAAAATTCAAGTATCTCATATTTTCATGTTTTGGACTATTTTGTAAAATGATGATATTTTTCACTGTAGCATATTTATTATCATGTCTACAAACATTTCCCAAAGTTTTACATTTTTTAGAATTTATTTGATATTTTTAAACGGCGTTTTAAAATCAGCAAATCAGGTTTTTCATGTGTCAGATTTCGGTCGACCGCACCGGTCGACCGATCATTTGATCTTTTATCACTGGGTGACAGAGAGTCTGTCAGTCGACCGATCCGATCGACCGAAAGCTCCATCGGTCGACCGCACCGGTCGACCGACGATGGTCCAGAATTGCTTCTTCGTGTTTTTGCTCTCTGTCGGTCGACCGACGAAATTTCCGGTCGACCAACAATAGATCCGTTGGCTTCCAACGGCTATTTCTCTGAGTTGTTTGCTGGGGCTGTTTTTGTCTTTTGACTTGGGATTTTTAGCTGAGGTTTTGGAGGATATAAATACTCTCTTTGATCTCAGTTTTCAACTAAGCTAAGAAGTTTTTAAACAAGGGTTTTAAAAAGAGTTTAAGCTTGTTTAAGCTTGTTTAAGGGTTTGGTTTAAAGCATCACAAGTGGAGGAGATTATCTTCTTGTTTGGGCTCATATCTCCATCTCTCCATCTTGATCTAGAGAAGTGTTTCTAAACTCATCTAGCAATTTATTATTTTGATTATAATTTCCATAAGCTAGATTTATATTGAGTTTAGTTTAATTGATTTTATTTATCTCTTTGTACACACACAACCATTGAGCTTATTGTATTTTCATACATTATATAATTAGGTTGTGGGATAGTGTGACATTGAGTTGAGCCTAATTGAGTTCTCACCTTGTTAGAGAGAACAATCATTTGTCATATTGTGCTTATTGTGAGATTCAGTTAGCTAGAAAACCGAGTGTGAGGTGTAAACGTTGTTCGGGTGAACGTAGAAAACCCGGTTGATAGTGGATTTCTCCCCGGGAGTGGGGAGCGGAGACGTAGGACGGAAGGTCCGAACTCCGTGATCATATTGCTTGTTTGAGTTTGTCTTTGGCATATTTGTTTTTGCATTTATCTTATATCGCCAATAGCGCATTGCTCATTTATTTCATCCACTATCTTATTTAGATTATTTACCCTTGTATTGTTTATATATCCTTGCATATATTTCTATCATATAGGATATATCTCATTATTCGTGTTGCTTATCCTAGCTTATATTCTTGTTGTATTTCATACTTGCTAGGATAACTTGTGAATTAGTTTTAATTGGCATTTAATCGGATTAGATTAGCATAAGACCCTAATCACCCCCCTCTAGGGTCTAACAGAGGGCAATATATGACATACGGCTCAAGTGCGTCTGTCGTTCAACGGTCCGGATTGGGTGTGGAACGAAGAGCCCCTCATTACACCGCCATTAATGCGAAGTGACGTGCCAACACCAACCCAGCTAGCAAGCATGTAGGACCGTAACTAGACACATAGTTACTCCCAAGTCAGTATTCGTCTCACTTTCGGTTTGATTCGCCTGTGGCAGAATTCGACTATGGCTACGCAGCTTGATTCGCGTGTAGCTAGAGTTCGTTCCCAGCTTGAACTCGCCTGTGGTTAGAATTCAGCTATAGCTTGAATTCGCCCATAGCTAAAAGTCCACCCACGGTGACCTCACGGAGAGAGATAAAAGCTGGAAGATAAGAGATAACAACAACAGGGAGGAGTGTATGCGCAAACACGTTTGGAAACTCAAAAGAACGCATCATTCACCCAGTTTTAAGACAATACATTTGAACAAAGTTATGATTTTACAATCAGACAAATCATTAACACCAAATGTCTTAACATTGTGGAGAACCTAGTCCAAGAGGCTAAAGGATGCGAGCTCCGCTTTAACTTCGGCCACCCTTCTGGCGTGGTCCATCTGGGCTTTATCTGCAGCTTCTTTCCGGGTCCGATCCTCAAAGCTAAAGGCGGTGATAAAGTATTCTTGGCGCAGCATCTGAAGGTTTCGGGTCACCTCTTCGACAGCCTTGTCAACTTTCTGGCTCTCAGATCGGAGCCCCCCTAAAGTCGTCTCCGTAAGCTCCAACTCAGCCCTCAGACGGGATATGGTGGAAGTAAATGTACCTATCCGCTCCCCCAGTGAGTGCTGCTGGTCCACCAGAAAGGTGACATGGGACTCCAAATCCGCTATTTCCCTTGAGCGGACCTCTTGATCTCATGCCTCCCGACGCCAAACTTGAGACAAGAAGCGCTCCACGTCAGCCGTGGGACCCCCTTGCAGCAGAGTCTCTAGGCACGTCAGACGCAATTTCAGATAGAGGAGCCTCTGATTGCAACGTGTGGCAAGGCGAGGTTCGCCCAACCACCTGAGATCGACCATGCGATCCAGGAGGAACTGTTTGAAGTCAGCATAGACCCCAAGGCCAAGGCTGACAAGGGAAATCACCTGCTTCGCAACATTTTCAAACTCTTCGATACGATCCTGTAGAGACAGAGATCCTGAGGGAACGGGCTCTTGACCCTGAGCAAGCGCTGCAATGGGAGGAACCTCAAGACAAGGATCCACTCCAAGTAGGGGAACGGGTTGCGAAGCGGAAGAGGCAGCAGTTCCCTCGGATTCATCGTCGGAAACGAGTATGGGCTCAGTCCCCCGCTCTCCGGTAATGGGCACTCCTTCACGAACTGCACGATGACAAAACAAAAAAAAGGGGTTAAGAGCAGGGGCATCACCTTACTCATAGACCCATAATCGAACTAAACGAGAGCCTAGACGCCAAAATACCTTCAGCAGCGGCGGCTTTGGCGGTGGAAGAGGAGGAAACACCCTTGCCCTTCTTTGAAGCATTCCTCTTCACCTTCGGCGCCATCACAAGCGCAGCAAAAAGGAAGCATGTGTTTCTCTTTTGAAAAGACAACTAAAGCCATGATACCCCCCAACACAGAGGGAGGGGCATTAAATACATGGCATGGGTGAACGCTCACTATTCGATTGGACCGTTCGAATCAAATAGTCACAGATAAGGCGAGGCGATACCAAATCTCACACGAACGATCGAGATGTGCCAGTTTCCCACACGATCTTTGGCCAACGGTTCAGATCGGGCATGAAGAACAGAGAACCCCACTATGCCATCTTTAATGGGAAAAGACGTGCACACGTGATCTTAATTGGTAGGCACGTGGCCCACCAAAAGCAAAGCCCACCTACGAATTAAATTCGTCAGGCGAACCCGCATGTATTGAGCTCGCCCGAAGGCTCAGACTCGCACACTATTGTGACTTGCCTAACTAAGGCTTAATCACAATTGGGATTTGAACCGCTTTTGAGTTCGCATGAAGATTGAACCCAGTTGGGACTCATGCAAAGCTTGAAACTATTCGCAGTACCACCTAACGCTGAAGTTCGCATGCAGCAGGGACTTACCCATAGCCAGGAGTCACCCGATGCGAATCAACCGACGGTTAACTTGACAGCGCCCGCGGTGACCAGCGACAAAACGAACACACATAGAATAAAAGGAGCAATGACTGGGATAAAAACACGATTCCATTCATTAAGAGAGATTTGAATACAATGATACAATCAAAAGCAAATTACAAATCTCTCAGTCGCGAATACAACTCGTGAATCTCTTCAGCACGCCTGAGCTTGAGCCTCCTCAGGATCTCTCGACGAATATCCTCCTCAGAGCGTGAAAGCAAGTCTTGGACAGTGTGCCTCACCTCCTTGAGGGCTCGGTCTTTCTCCTCAATAGCGTCAACGGCCAGCTGCCGTCGAGACCCAAGTTCCTCCAACTCCCCCATCACCTGTTCGCGAGCCTTCTCCTGGGTAGCCAATAAGGCCTGCGCATTAGCGATGATTTGTTTGGTCTCCGCTATCTCCAAAGACAGGCGGGAGATGCGGGAATCAGCCTCTTGGTGTGTCGGGCTTGCTCGCTCGTTCTCGACCGTAGCGCGCTCCAGCTCTTTCGTCAGCCTTGCATCCAACGACGTTGTCTCCTCCAGTCTACTATTGCGATCCTCTAATGCTATCTGGACATCGCCAGATGCGAGATGAAGAATCTCGAAACTCATGGTGCGAAGGGCAAGCAGCTGTCGGATGGTCTGTTCTGCCTCCTCTAAACGTTTGAAGTACGGATTGGTGGCGGAGGGACCCAGTAGCCTGATCAAGAAGCCCATATGATATTCAAGGGCCTCCTTGAACTTCTCAAAGGGGTAGCTTTCTTCCAAAGCGAGCCTGATGATGTCTGCAAGGGTGTCTTAGAGGCTGGCAATGGTTCGATCCACCAACTTTTTACACGAACGAGCCAAGAGAGAGAGGGTGGCCTCATCAACATGACGCCAATGTCGCCAATCACGGAGTGTCGGGACCGAAAGCACTGGCAGCCACGACAGGGCGGGATGTGGGTAACAGACCACCAATTGAAGACTGAAGGCACAAAACCGATACCATCGGGGTCTTGACCATGGATCTGAGCGTGACCTCAACGGTCATCGAGATACGGGGCGAGGGATCAACCACCACACGGGTAGATGCTTCCCCTCGGGCAGAAGCCCCTTGGGCTGACGACCCTATCTCGACCGACGCTTCTTCAGGAGTGTGAATCTCCCCTTCAGAGTCAGACGGTCCCTCATCACTTGACATCATCTCATGGATAGAGTCATCATCTTCGTTGTCCATTTCGCTACCCTCTTCAACCGACTGATCAACCCAAGAGGGGGGATACTCTTTTCTAGCGGCATCTGAGGCTGGGGCAGCTGTGAATATAGGAGGGAGGTTAACAATAACATTTGAAAAGAACCCCATGGGAAGTTTAGTAGAGATAGATCGGCTGAGGCATTCGGACGCATGCTGCTTGCCTGAGTCGCCAAGCTCTGCCTCATGCCTTCTCGCCCCCCCCCCCCGTCTTCATCGGAAGGAATGGGCGATCGCCTCCTCAAGCTGTACCTACATTTGAGGTTAACACGGAGACATCAATAATGCTAATTCCGACACATGCACATGAGGATAGCGGTACTAAGGGTTACCTCTCGGCATAATGGTGGGAGTCGTTGAAACCACCACCTGTTGCTCCACAGAAGACGATGAGGGAACGACCTCCGAAGTTGCCGGAACCATCACCGAGGCAGTAAGTGAAGCGGGCGTAATACCACTGGTCGTAGGAGTAGTCACCCTAGGAATTAGCATAGGGTTTGCGTCATCCTGGCCTCTCACCACTCCGATAGCCTCAGCCGCCTCCTCGTGATGGGCCTTCTTGGCCACCTCCACCCTAGAACTGTCGGCCGTGGCGTCACGTTGTCGCTTGGAAAGAAGAGAGCTGCTAGGATCCAGGAGCGGCATCCCCAGCCGCCCAGCGATTGCTCCCCGGGCCTATTCCAGGTGTTCACCTGCCCGAGCCAACTCATCAGATCCTCCCGGCACGTCAACAGGATCCAATTGAGGATGAGGGGATGGGGTGCAAGCCGCGAATTCCCCGAAGTCTCCCGAGCCAGCGTGAAGATCCTCAGCCTCCTCTTCAGGGACCCCTTCAAACTTGAGGAGCGGGGATCTACCCTCGAGCGGCGCCCGCGCTCTGCCAGACAAGAACTTTGAAACCGAAAGCCCTCAGGGTTTGCGCTAGCACCTCGATACCACCGATAATAGAGGAGCAAATGACGAAGGTCACGATCCATAGCCGGTAATTCGAAGTGCACATTGGTGCCACCGGCGTAGGTCCAGAACCACCCTCGTGCACCATCAACCAAACCTCCTTCGTAATAAAAATGAGGATTGGTGTTCCCAACATAGAGCTGGTCATACCCGAACTGACGGGCAAACCTACAAGGGAAATAAGGCTCGAGGTAACACACAGAGCCCGTTCGCAAGACGTGATACCCCGGCCGGATGTTAACTAACCATTAGAAGGCGTCGCAAGAGAGAATGGTGTTATGGCCTGCCGTCGACATGTCCTGAAGCGACTCGCCATAGCCACCCCCAGTGAAGTAAGGGAAGAATCGTCGGAAATTGTAATGACCGAAATAAGACAACGTCTTCCTCATGTTGAGGACGTCCTTACACTTCTAAGAGCATCTTTCCAGACATTGGACGAACATGACAGATCCCTCCTCCTGTAGAGCCGCTAGGGCACTCATCAAACACTCACAATGGTATACGAACCACGCCATCAAATAAGTGTACGGCAGCCCCACTCTCGGATTAGGGGTCTTAACAACTTTGCCTTCACCCTCGTCAACATACGACATGCGGAAAAACTGGTTTGTCAGTGTGCGAAGCCCCCTTTGAATACAGGCTACCGTTACCGACACCAACGCATACGGCCTCCCATAGGCTAGGCGTACCATAGGGTAAACCACTTCCACCGGAAGTGCCTCGAAGGAGTGGGTGGGAACCACACACCTCTTCAACCAAAGCATGAGGTATCCCACGAGCAGAGCCTTTGCGGATATAGGAGACTTAGCCAGGTGGTGGAATGACTGGTGTAGGCTGTCTAAAAAAGATAGCTGATTCCCCATCAAACACCAATGATGGAAGTTACAATCTGACGACTTCCAGAAGGCTATCTTTAGCAACACTCTGACAGAAAGAGATTACAAATCGACGATCTCTTCAAACCAAGACGTGGAAGTCCTCCCTACGTACCATCTTCAAGACACAACACCAATTTGATTACCTACGCAGCTTCGACCGCTTTAAACAAAAATACAGCTGCTTATGTGAGATGATTGATCTTGATGGCTGCGACAACAACATAACTAATATTATATTAGCAACTATTAGAGGTGTTGATGAGCAGTGTAATGATATTTGACACACTGAGGAGCACATGGTTAAATCATGCAAAGAAATTTTAGTGGAGATTGTGACCTACAGTTGATAGAGCGTTATGGCCTGAATAAGACCTCCTTTACTGGTCATTGGTGTCATCCATATATAAAGACAGAGAAACCCGAACGCAGATTCAACAAACAGCTCGAACGCAGCTTCAACAAACAGCTCGAACGCAGCTTCAATAATCAGCTCGAACGCAGCTTCAACAAACAGCTCGAACGCAGCTTCAATAATCAGCTCGAACGCAGCTTCAACAAACAGCTCGAACGCAGCTTCAATAATCAGCTCGAACGCAGCTTCAACAAACAGCTCGAACGCAGCTCCATCGCTGCCAAACGCAGTTCATCAATCGCTGCCAACGCAGCTCATGAATCGCTGCCAAACGCAGCTCATCAATCGCTGCCAACGCAGCTCTATCGCTGCACGACGCAGCTCGTCACAGCAGCTCTTTCCAATTACCGCCAGAACGCAAGTCAAGGTTCTAACTCATTCAAACGTGATCGTAACAACTTTGAAGCTGTTCTCTACCTACGATATAGGGAGTGGTTTACGTGGGTTGTTACACCCGATTAATGGGGTAACTAAACCCCCATTTAGGCGCGGATTATGGGGGCAGTTACACCCCTAACCCCCCTATAAATATCAACAAACTCAACAGAGTTAAGGATCAGATTTTTGATAATCAGATCGAGGGACGGATTTTTGGAGATTGGATTTTGATTACTTGGAGAGGATCTTTTGATCAGATTTCCTAGAATCAGAAAAAGAGGATTGACTAGACGTTAGATACTTGGCTTATTAACCGAATCATTTTCGGTTCAAACAACTCTTTTTATCAGAGTTTGTTACTCATTCTGAATCACAAAACTCGTCAAGAGTTATCAACCAGACAAGACTGCTGTTCCAGTGAGCATAGATATTCAGATCGTCAACGAGAAGTAAACTCGACGCAAGCACTCGAGGGAGGCATCTCATCGCCACCGCGAAGAACCCAGAATTAAACAAAGGAGAGAATCCAGATCATTCTCTTCTCTTTTGTAATCAGGAATTCAAATTGTAATATCCGACGTTCACCTCACTGGAACAACCGTCGAAACTCTTGTTGTGGAGTTTGACCAAGCCAAGTACGAGGAGGCTCTCTCCTCTGGATCGCTTAGCCCCAAGGCTAGGCGAGATGCCTGTAAGAGCTCTAAAGAGGTTTTAACTGCTGTTGAGACGCCAAAGAAAGCCCTCTCCTTTGGCCAAAGCCTCAAACTTGCTCTGCAAGCTGAAGATCTCGCACCTGTTTCGACACAGCGTGTACAGGGTTATAAGAGGCCTATGACAGAGAAAGGCCTAATCAACGTCGACAACGCTGCTGCTAAGACTTTGAAACAAGCCAAGAAAAATGCCGCTCGAAGACGGAGAAGATCCATCCGACGAGCACATCTCCGAGAAAATCAATCCTTGGTCCAACGCAGACGGAGAAGATCCATCCGACGAGCACATCTCCGAGAAAATCAATCCTTGGTCCAACGCAAGGATTGCGTTTCCGAAGCTCTGCCCAAGCATTGCGTTCATACTCCAGAATGCACACTTCGAGGTAACGAATCCAATTATGAACCTCGGGTGATTCAACTTAAACGCGACCCTCAGTGGTGCGTTGTCTAATCAAAACACAACCCTGCTAAAGGAAAACAGACGCCTCATGAGTGCGTCCAAACAAAACAAGACCTTAAAGGGTCTGTTTCATCGACTGAACGCAGGCCAAGGCCTGGTGTTTATAAATCACAATGCGACCCTCGCACTTCGCTTCCCGAATACGATGTGGTCCGCCAAGTTAAAAAGAATCGAAGTGGACTTAAGATTCACGTCCACCAAGAACCAGTCTCGCCCCCTCAGAAACAGAGGGTCCTATCTCCGATGAAGAGTCAATCTCAAAACCCCGACTTACGGGAGTTACTCTCTAAAAGAAAACCAATACAACAGGCGAATCATTCCTGCCATTGTGAGAGGATTATTTCAGCAGTCCTCTCCGAGTGCCGATGTTGCGCACCTGAACCCCGACAATCGGTGTTCGACAGATTGGCGGATGTCGTCAGACCTACCAAGAGACGACGCCATCATAAGAAGAAAGATTCTGAAGCCGAGTATCCTCAGGTTACTATCAACATGACCGGCAGAGGGAAGATCTCGTATCCTAGTTCTGATGAATCAGAAAGGAGCCATTCCCCGACTGTTCGAGAAATTTGTGACGAGTTCGAAGGGGTGTATCGGCATACTCGGTCACGGACCAGAGCTATACGACTAATTAATTATCAAAAGTTAGCCAAAGGGATTACGACGAGTGATGAACATTCGGCAATATAGC